TGAGGAAACAGGATACGAAACATACCCTAAAGATGGTCATCGTGCCTTTACCATTGCAGAATTATTGAATGTGATTTAAATACATTGAACTTCTACAGACAGACTTATATAGACACGCTAAAATTTTAAATTTACCTTTACTAGATATTTAATAAATAAATAATAAATTTTGTTGTCTTATTGTGGTATGCAGTAATCAGACATACTAGGAAAAAAACATACTAAAAAACTTTTTACGACTATTGCCATTTTGTCCTTTTTCAGATTAACATATCGAACATATCAAAATTCTGCCCTTTTAAATCTCAGTGTTTCTACATATATTGTATATTATGATTAAAAATAAAAAACAAAAGATTACAATAAATTTAAAAATATCAAAAATTATTCCACAAACAAGAAAACAAGAACTGAGTACAATTAACACGTTTTGTACGATAATATCAATTAATTGTTGGAAATTTTTTAAAGGTACTCGGCGTACAAAACAGTCATAAACGCGATATATGTTTCCAATATGTACTGAAAACAAAGTGCGAATGCAAAGCTACTTTTTGTATAAAAAGGATTTCGCGCGTTTTGTTAAGCCTACAAAGTTCAATAAACGTCACGTTTCCCATGTTTGAAATTCTGCCCACAAGGCGGAAAGGCTTTGTCATTATGAGCCACCTCTTGCATGGCCCAGTATTGCACTTCCTTAATATGTGATCCAAATTGAATTAATTAAACATGGTATGTTTCAAATCATGTAGTGGTTACCAAATTGGGATCAACTTTCCTTTTCATGGTTTTTGAAAAAGCTCAACACGCTTTTTGCAGCGTGTCAACCAGATATATCTCCAATGTGCCAGATTGGCAAGTTCTCCGTCTTTCGAGAAGTAGTGTCTATTTTAGCATCTATAATTTATCTACCTTTGTGTTGCCCTTTTTTCTATAATTTACCTTCTAACAAATCTTAACAAAAATAATAAAATTCATTACATCCTTTTATATTGGTTAATACAAAATATTATCCACTCGGTAAAATTGAAATGCACCCAAACTATGGCAAATGACAACACATTTGATGGATTGATTTTTGTTAATTTTAGTTGCACATTACCGTATACACACTTATAAATATACATTCATATGATCAATAATATAATCTTGGCATTTTTCTAATTTAATTGGGACTTTTTTCATCCATTTTCTACACTATCAGCCACTCTTTATTCTCTCTGACTTTAGTATTAATCAGTATCAGAGACATAAATCTAAAGACTGGAGTTCCAACTATAGAATACCTGATGAAAAACGATCTATCCCCCACCTAGACCGTGGCACTTCGCTTCGTTTTCTCTCTTCAACAAGATAAAGAATCGTTTTGAAGGACATTAACTTGAAAATTAAACGACGAGTGGAATATCTCTTGCTATATTACCCAGAACCGTTTTTAAGTAACACAATGCACCATTGTTATAATGCCACCAAGCCAGTCCGTTGAATATACCACTTTTAAATATTGTGTTAATTGGCAGTTGCTGGCGCCTATTTCTGAGATCTACTATTGTTATAATGCCACCAAGCCAGTCCGTTGAATATACCACTTTTAAAAATTGGCAGTTGCTGGCGCCTAGTTCTGCGATATGTGTGGGAAGTTTCAAAATCGCGTGGGTAAGGCAACAATTTCCACAGAGGCCTTAACTCAGTACAATTCTGCCCCACCCCTGTTTTCTCTTGTGCGACCTGACGTCTAAGAAAAGCTCAGGATACGCTGCGCGCAACGTTAATTGTTATAACTTATCGGCTGTCAGAAAAAATGAAACTCGTTAAAAAGGAAATTAAAGTCCGTAATTAAAGAAAGCCCCCGAGCGGACCGGGTTGCGATAAATCATTCTTTCCATCTACTTCTAAATGTTATTGTCGAAGAGTTCACATAAGATGAACGCCCAGTCGCTGCCAGGAAGTCTCACAGGCCACTTGATGTTCCTTTGGCTTTAGACGGATCTTTTAGGGAACTGTGGACGCAACTAGATCATCGTAGCTTTACGTAGATGATGTATTCGATCATTTATATTCTGTTTGTATGAAAGCGGTTCAACATTGTGTAGACACGCAATGGCATTAAACACAAGTAATCCAAAGACCAGTTTTGAATAACATGTACAAACGTTATCAAATGCAGTTACACATATCATAAGTTTGTAACCGATTCTATTGAATAAAATGGTGAAAAACCTACAATATATATACAGTTTCAATTGTTGTGTATTTTACATGTATTTCAAAGAACAAATGTGAAAAAAATTAATGCGAAAAGAAGGGTATTAACTATGAATAATATTTTGATGTGGTTGAACTTTGACTAGGTGTTCATACACTCCGAGTCTTGTTGAAGTTCTCACCTGCTGACTAATATTCCTTTATAATCATTCATTCATTTCCTGTATATTTCTTTCTTGGCCACCTGAGATAAAAGGTCCTTAATGCTAAGAAACCTACAAAAGTGCCTTATAAAACATATAAACGTAGACGTGGTTCCACAACTACAAACATTAAAATCTAAAAAAGGAAAAAAAACAGATATCTGTGGGACAACCTTATGTGATGAACAAAATGAACAATTAAGCACATAAACAAAACACTTCTATCCTTTTCTCGGCAAGTGGCCAAATTCAGATGAGAAAAGACCCCCATTTCTGTTTTACATGGGATGGGTTTTTCAAAAGCAATTCTCTGTAATAATTTCTATCGTGTACACGAGGCCAAATGCACATGAAGAAAGTTGCGAAATACGCACTAAAATTCTTAATGTCTATATACCTTACTAACGTCCTTCCATCACATATTAGACACCAATTAAAACTTTGCATTTTAGACAAAAGAGTTCTTCTAAAATGTGTACTTGACACTCGAAAACTGAACAGAAATTGATTGAGAAATAAGTGTTTCACGGCAAAGAACGGCGTGACAAATACGTGAATCATAGCAAATTGTAAAACAAAATCATTTGCCTTTGAAAACAGCTTTATTGTACAGAACGGGGTGGTGAATCTAGTGAATCAAAGTCTAGGAGTTTAGATAAAAGAACTCGTTACACTTTTCAGCTTTGGGTCACATCACCATATTAATTTTAGACAATAACGTATAGAATATCGAAATGTGTTGAAACTCGTGGAAATGTAAACGACGGAAGAGTAAAACAGGTCCACATTCGCAGAAACATTGCGTTCCGGTTAAAACAGTTGTATTAAGTGACGGCTGAAAGGAGAGATTGTCTCTAAAGATCTGATAACGATAAAGCAAAGTTGCATGAATAAATTCCTGAGGACAGATACCCATCCCATGACGTTCATTATATATACCTCCCGACATGACTGACGTATGACATTATTTATGGGCGATTTCACGCACTGAGACAAAACAGTTTGTTAATGACGTAACGTTTAAGTGCTGCACGCTAGAAGATACTTTAACTGCTATTAAGCCAAGGACAACAGCTTTTCCGATGGAAGACAGCAGAGATGAGATGCTGTAATTTTATACACTTGGCAAGGATATCCGAGCACTCAGAGATGAAACGTCGATTTCTGGATATTTCAGACAATAGAACCTTAACGCGTTATTTATTATTATCCCCTCGGGGCCGCGTGCTGTTCATATGATAAGAAAGTGCTGCTGCTTTTACAGATTATTTGCTTCGCAATGGCAGCAACTGCTTGTGTTAATGCATTTCGTATCGCAGCAAAGTGTACCTTTACAGACCTGCGAAACATTTGGTAGACTCATACATTAAGGTATGCAATTGCCATTTATACACCGAATTATACCTTAGTACAAAAAGGGCACAAACCACAATGCCACAAAGATCATCCCCTTACTCAAGACATCTTTGTTATTAATATTCTTATCGAGAAACGTGTGCCACAGCATTGTATAAAGCCTTGCAATGTGTAGGAAAGTGGAAATAAAGAGTAGAATTGATTTTCATGAAACAAAATTCATGTTGGTGGTGAACAAATTAGCAAATGTGATTTAACAATAATTTATTATATGTATTATGACATTGAATTACTCGTTAAAACACTTTCACACAAACAGGAAAAATAATGTGAAGTTCATAGAAGTTCGTTGTTTGGTGTTCATTTTCACATCGCCTTGCACTAGGTAAAATATCAAAAAGCACTAATATAACTTATATTTAAGAATAACTAAATTTGTTTCCTGGGAATTTGATATAACGTTCCGGCTCTTTTACCATTCTTATTTGGAGCACAATGTAAGTCAACTTTTTTTGTTTGTTTTTTTCTGATTTTCTGTATGGAAAATACGTTTTCATTCGAGAAGGCAAACACGGTCAGTTAATTACAACAATTCCAGTGAATTATTCAGAGTGCTTGGTAAACGTTTCCTTGTATCTGATACGTGGAACTAAAATGAAATGATATACCAAAATATACCTAAACATATACCGAAACACATACATACATGTGCATTAAATCGACATATTACCGCATACTCAAAGCTTAAATATACTTCAAATAATATGCAGAAAAAAGTTTTGTGTTGTGAGTGAAGGGTGGGGAGACGGTGCATTGGAACTTAAACCAAATTAATACCGAAATATACCAAAGCTTTATGTCCGTATCACAGTACGCAAGATCCATCATCAGTCGTTGAATAATACATACAGCGCCTTACCTTAGACCTTTTAACTGTCATTAAGAATAGTCTTATGTGATCAAACCTTGGAGATAATACATTGATACCAGAAATGGAAATGTGTGCTGAGACGCAAGTATTCTGATATTGCCTTCCCCTTGCCTGGACAATATTGTCGTAAGGGCATCAATTTGTAATCATTTGGTTCAGCGAGGCAATGTGCCCGGCAGAGATCTTTGCCAAGAAGCCCAATAATCGTTCCAAGCCATATATTTATCTCCGGTGTCTTCTTGATTGGTTTCGGGATATAGAAAGATTGAAAATGTGAGAAGGTAATGACAAAGATATGTACTTACCTGCAGCTGAGCGAGAGAGGTGCAATGTATTTCGCAATGAGGAAGGCAATGCTGCAGCGTTCTTTGAAACGATTTTCAAATTAGTGCAAAGACTGGTTCCTTTAACGACGTATCAGCATAGTGCTTCGTAGTGATTAAAGTTATTCATTGACAGGTTCCTGTAAAAAAACTCTTCTGTCCACGAGTTTCTTTATCTGCTTGGGAAGGCTGTGCGGCTTTCAGTCCCAAGACGGCTACATGGTGCCAAACCATTTAGTTCCAAATTATTACTTCGGATGGTACCGATATGGCCGTGAATGCTGCTGTTGCCTGTGATGGACGCACTGGCAGTTTTGCTGTCTTTTGTTATCAAACCCCCTTTCGTTGCAGTGTAGGCCTACTGCAAAAATCGTTTTTCGCGAGATTTTCTCACCGGAATAATGTCGCTAATGGACTCACACAGGGTGCTCGATCGAACCAGGACAAAAGCAAATTGTCGTCACTTCCCCTATCAATACTTTCAGAAAGAACCACATGGGGATCCATGCACCTTCCGTCTAATACCTGGCTTCCCGTGTCACTTAGTAATACAGGGGCCCATCAATCTCTTAGCCATTTTATTTGTAGTTTTCAAGTATTTACAGCCAGGTTCGATACACTTTCCTTCCCGCCAGTGACGCGAGAGAGCTATTTGCAAGACAAAACAACTTGAACGGAATCCGCAATTACGAAAGCGCTCAGATTGTTGATCGCGGATTCGATCTCTCAGAGTAAATAGGAATAGTGCGGTGGATTATAGTAAAGGTTGCTTATCTTCCTCCAGCGCGAGTTCCGCCCGATCCATTTACCGCACCTTGCAGGGGTTTGGTTTCCATGCTTTTGGGTAACTATTCAAGTTGCGGTGAAACCAATCAATGCTCAAACTGCAGCATTAAATAAAGCAAGCATGTTCAAAACTGATAACCGTCCTTGTTCCGCGCGTGGAGGATATTAGTTAATCATTCTTCCTCGAAAACTATACCAGAATCCATACTCCTTTAAAATCTCACATGACAGAAATCCATTAATGATTTTGAAATTCGCTATTTTCGTCGACGTCGTTTTCACCCCCTCTTCTTCTAGCAATGGAATTATCCAATTTACGTGTGACGTTACGGAACGCCCACACAGTGTTCAAGCGTTCACTCCGGCGACCGAAATAAAAGCTGTGAAAGCTCATGAAGCAAGCCATTCAAGACGACACTGTCAAAAAATTTGGAGACTCACAGAAAGCCGTTTTAGGTGAAGTCAACCACATAACCGGTCCAAGCAGAGACGGAGTTAGGAAAATCTAGCATCATGACAACACACGTCAGACGAGGTATGGTGACTTTCACTTTGATCTTTTGGTGGGTGTGTACATGCAAGTGGTAACCTTATTGACATCTTCTGTATTTTTAGATGTTTTTCAAAAAAAAATAATCGAGTTTGATAACAGTTTATAAATAAACTCTTCGCCTAACTATTATTAAACATATAGATTCGTCACTCTTCCGTAAGTCAATTATAAATATATAACAATCAGGTGTGGGGATAAGATTTATTTTCATTTTCCATTTCGGAAAACAACTTTTATGTACAGTTATTTTGCAGATGTCTTCTACGTAAAATATTTTTCACATGAGTAAGGACAATAAACCAAGTGCTCTGGAAATAAAGTGAATATCCTGCGAGTTTTAGATAAAAGCGCGACCGGCTAACGTTATGATGTTACAGTAAACGCTATATAAGTAAAATTTAACGCAATATAAGACAGACCCTGCGGCATATGTTGGAACCACTCCAAACCGTTTTAGTTCAGGCACAAAGCGTTTTGTGCGGGCCATGAAAGCCTCCTTTATATAGAAAAAAAAATGAAATATCTAAAAATAGACAATATGATTTAACTATACGCATTATCTGTCATTCGCACGACAAGATTACAATAGAGACAAATGTGTTAAAAGAAACTAACAGTTTCACTAAGCTTCAACATACTGCACCAGGTCGTAAAGCGACAACAGATTTTCTAGTATAATTTAATAATAAAAAGTAAACGAATAAATTAATTTTAAGATAAAATCATGTCTACCTGCTGATAATTTATTTGAAATAGTTGCCAGACAATTACAATGTAGCTTATTCATCGAAAATAGATGGTGTACGAACACGACATTTTAAACAATTTTGTGTTGTGGATGATAAGTAATTGACATGACATAATGCCCTTGTTATCATCTAGAATTATATTCCATAAAATGCAAAGTTGTTTTAGAACAAATCATCCAAGCATTAATGCACAGATTTTCATCTAGGATTATTAAAGGTAATAATCAAAATTACTTTACTTCAATGTTTTATAATTTCATAATTACTTATTTATTGCAATTATTTTGTGTTTTTTTCCAGGAATAGGAACACCACTCCAAGTAAAAGAGGAAACGTTGACAGACACCTTAGAGAAAACGAAAAGCATCCCGAAGGTGGTGCTGTGGGCAGTACCCCGCAGTATCTCAACCGCTTTCTTCAGGGCAATGATGAATAAGAAAAATGTGAAGGTAGGGCACAGCCTCGTTTTCAGTCAATCATCATGACGAGTACCGGTACATGCATACTATGACGATGGAAAACATAGGGTCATGTCGCAAGCGGTTAGGGATTTAAAAAAAGAGAGAAAATGTTAGATCGCTTGCTTTATAAAAACCGTGAGAGATACAATGGTATCCTGTGGTTATAATGAAATTTTGTAAAATAATTTTCATTTGTTCGGTTTTCGTGGAATAGATTGGAAAACCGCATTGGTGTTTATGGCATTACATGTTTATTCCAAATTTGGCGTTCACCTGCTCAGTACCCGAAACAGACTAAAGCATATTTTGATTGATTTACACTTTTTAGTTTAAAATAGAATCGACACGTATTTGTACAATCTCTTAATCCAGCTGCTCAGAAAACGTATTTTTATTACCCAGACTGTCATAAGCAGGAAACGGGCGCCTGGGAAATTGATTGTCGGAAACCTCAGGCAGATGCACCATAGAACACTTTTCTGATACCTCTGCTTCTGTGTTTACAGTTTCTTCTCTTTGGTAATGCTCCCATGTTATCTGTGCCCAGTCGTTTTTTATATGCAGTGACAGCAGAGGTAACGATTAATGCCCGGTTTGCCATATATTTCCCAACAGAATAAGAAAACATTGTATACGATGTCTTTTACAGCACACATTAATAACATGACCTAAGAATGCTTGCTGTCAAATGCGCTGGGCGGTTTGACAATTCACATAAAAGGTAGCTAATTGACACGGTATACACACTATATGTAGGCATCACTTATGTTTTCGTTACACGCAACAACCAGATGTGCACTTGACACAGTAACACTGATTATAAACTGGGTGTTTTAAGTAGGATGGTTCGTTATGATATATATATAGAAGAAGAATACGCGATATATATATATATATATATATATATATATATATATATATATATATATATATATATATATACCGCGTTTTCTCGTTTTGTCTCGGTTTGAAAATAAATGCCAAACAAATCTGTTGTCACATTTCTCTGCATGCAGCGTAATTTCCAATGGCGTGTAGGAGTCAATACGAAATTGTTTGCATTGATTGGTCAAGACGCTTAACATAGAACCATCTACAATGTACGTGTTGCGCTTAACGTTTTCAAATATCAAATAATTCTGTTTGATACAGATCGCCTTGGTATCATACAACTTTTTTAATTTGAAGCCACAGCAAATAAGAATTAGATTACTACATGTAAGACAAATTATCGTTTTTATGATCGTACTGTTTTTACTGACTGTAACCAATCGTAGCTAAAAAAAAACCCTCAAAACAAGGCAACAAATCAAGCAGAATGGCTTCCATTCTTTTTACACACTTATGTATACAAGTATATGCTAATGCACTTACTGCCAATATTAATATGATCAATGGGTTGACGGAAAGACATCTCTAGCGGGCACTGCTGGGGAGTTTTTTCATTACACCTTATCACTCGTGGGTCAGGCGGGTTAACAGATATATTAAAGCAATGACTGATTGATGATTTGTTTCCAAAGGCAAGGTGCTGGATTTAAAATGGAAATGAACTTTTATTACCCTTTTTGACCTTAGTTTCCTTTTTCTCCAGCAGACGGCGTGTTGTGAACCTACGCTAATTTTGTGCGTGGAACTGACTGTTTTCTTGCGTTTTGAAAGTTTGTTTTGGGGTTTTACATACATGTTCATAGTATCTAAATTTCTGCATTACGACTCACACCAGGATAAAGGTATCTCAGAGATAATAAAGAAACCAGTTAAGATAATACTCCGGTATAGAGTTATCGATTTACCAAAGTTTGTTGCTCTAACAGGAATAATTCTTATATTATTTTCACTTTTACAGACTAAAAAATGTCCAAAGGAAGACCTCGGTGCCCTAGTAGTTACTAGTTAATCGTTTAATGTTGACTATATCATTTACTTTCAATTCGTGTATTAAAAAAATATAAAACATTCCTTAGAAAACAGTGAAGCTATAACATTCACGCGAGAAAACTTTCGGGCGTAAAATAAGGCTGAAATTTTGATCAAGTGAGACATACAGTACTCTTACCTTGGTCTGTTACACTATTCTTCCTAACCAATGCTTTCAAATAAGCAAACATAGTTACCATTCAAACATTATAAGCAATTCATCATAGCAGTGTATCATAGAAACATCATAAACTATGACATACGATGCCATGTATTTAACAGTGATAGTGGAAACTGGGACAAGGTTCATTAAGTTATTTTACAGTACTTAACCCCGATCATCGAACGAACATCTGCAATTAAGATTTTAAAAACGTGTTGCGTCATTGCACTGAACTCAATATTGCCAGGTCAATACTCTCGTTTGTCATACTTCTCCTACTGTTTGCAGACAACAGAAATACTTTTGTTCTTTACAATAGGCACTTATTTTCACAAGAGACAAGGATCAATGACTAGATGTCCAGTTATGTGGTGTATGTATAACAGAGATTGATCGGTCAATGTGTGGAGGTCATATAGTTATACCCATCTCTCTCCCCCCCCCCCCCCTCTCTCTCTCTTTCTCTCTCAGACACAAAAGGAGTTTTATTTCATGCCTTTCTGCTCGAAACTCACTGAAAAAATATGCCGGGTGTGGTAATTTTCATTTTTACAACAATTCGAATGATTGATTTCGTTCAGGAAAGCTTGTTGCGTAAGTACGCATTTTTGCGTTAAAGAAAATTAAACCATTCATATGAGTGATGCATTGAAAGACTCCAAATTCTTTCTTTTTTGTAAGTTGCTAAAATACAAACTAACTGCATAACGCATTGCCTTACTGGATCAATACGATCCACTTTAAGGTTTATTTTACACGTGCGTTAAAGTCCTACACAGCATAATTACCATGTTTTATCAGTTTACAATAAGAATGATCTTCCAGGTTGTGATTCCAAATGCACTACTCTCTTTCCAGTCGATTGTGATAGATAAATGGATCGCGTGTCGTAAGTTGGCCGGCGCCCTAAACTTGTTTGTGTTGTCTTTACAAAAAACAGCTTCAAAGACTTCCAAACAAAAGAGTCAGTGACGAAGTGAACATTTAAAAAAACGGCATTATGCCAGAAATATATACAGTCTGTATGAACCGTATCTCTGCGTAATGAGCAGCCACGGCAGCGTTGTAAGAGTAAATGAAAGAGTGAAATACATATGACAGATAAGTCAATTTTGTTTTTGTTTTTTTACTTCACTGAGTTTATGGTATCGAACCATTATCAAGTGTGGTTTTGTTGCATATCTTCAAAGTAGCGAAAATCATTAGTTTTTAAAATTAAATTCTATCCGGTGTGTCTTTGGTCACGTACTTTATAAATGGAACAAAATGCCATTGTTTTGTTTATACATGCATGTTTGTTTGATTATCTTTAAGGATAACAAATTCAAAATAATAATCAAGGATAACAAATTTCCCGATAGCAATGTCAGATTATCTCAGAATACCCTGAAGGTTAGGTATCACTTTGTAATAGGTTTTTGCTGGTGGCAATTTTGTCAGTATGGTCTCTAAGATGGAGATGTAAGTAGAATTGGAATCTACTAGTTTTGGGGACATGTGAGATCTCGGCTGCGGCCGCCATAAGTAAATAAGCAAGCACCAGTAATTTGATACATTTAGAGATACAGTACATATAGTATATGTATGTTAGTGAGAGCCATGCTTGTACCAACGCATCATGTTTTGGTGAAAGTTTCATTGGTGCCATTGGTAATCTACCGTAACAGTGTAGAGTGTGATTTATCACTCTTTAATTTCACTTTTGGCAATTGACATTTAAGTGTGAAATAAATGAAGTGCTTTTTATTTGAAAATGCATTTTGAGCTACAAATAGCAACGCCATCCCGCTAGAATCTATTAAATGGGGGAAAGGATACTTTGAAATGAATCACACAAGTCTCTTTTAAGAGTTCTTTGAAAATGGGCAATTCAAAAATATACCAAGGTATTTAGTTTGCATAACTGCGGTTTGCTTGAACACTGTTCGCAGTAAATGCCAAACTCGTTTGAATTGTAGACTTACAAATGGATGTCATTTTTGTGAACGAATAACAGTTTATTCTGATCCCCTTCATTAATTGCCTTCTTAATTACAAACAAAGTGTTCTTCAGGTGATGCTGGAACCATACGCCCGTGCTTATTATTATGGCAATGAAAGGGTCAGCACCAGATATGGCGATCAACCCATCACTGAAAACTGCTCCTTTGAGGACATCAAAGGGGAATACGAGGACGATGTTCAAGGTGAGAGAAAATAAATTCTATTTATTTTTCGATTGCTTTTATTTAATCGACATAAAAGGCGCAGTCAATCTTCGTGGCATTGCATGTTAAAAACGGAAATAATTCAATAAGGTGCCCTGTGCCGTTGATCGCAGCAGGTACACGTTAAGAACTAGGCACCCGGACGGCACATTTATATTGCTTTATTCATGGTAAACAAGGGCGATTTACTTTTCGGTCAAATGATATTGCACTTTACATTGCGTTGGCATTTAGTTCGTTCCGATGAACCGACAAGAGTTAAAATAACTAAATTTGGTTCAACCTGTAAATTTTTCTTTTCCCATGCACCAATTTATATCGTAATTTCGTTGTCCAGACCCTATTATTTGATCCTAGCATTCATACACTGACCTATCCACTTAAAACAAATTAAAGTCACCATTTGTGCGGACACAATATTCTAAAAACAGTTTCGCATGAATTATTTAAAGTGAATGGCGTTAACCACGAAGCATTCATATTTCCAGACATGGAAGCCGTGTTCGCCAAAGACATGGCTTACTACTTGACAAACAACCTGGAATCGGTGGCCTGTTTGCCCAACGGCTATTTGCACACTTTTATGATCCGCGACCCGAGGAAATCCATCAAATCTCTGTACCGAATGTCCATTAAGAAGGAATTAACAGGTGCGTATTGGACCTAATTTTGCCATTAATATGTACCACACAGGACATTCACCGGTAGACTGGTTTATAAATCGACAGTTATATTTGGTAACGCCTACAAATGGCGCTGGGAATGGAGCTTCATGATGATGTCTAAGCGTGCTGTCGTTGAGGTACCCACTGATTAAGTCTTACGTGAGTGAACAACAAATGGGACCCAAATAACGCTTTGAGAAAATGCACTGTTTGATTACGAGTGAAATTAATCATGGCTTGACTTAATGTTTTGGATAAGCAAAGCTTGCGTTTTTTTGTTGAACATTCTTGTAATGTTGTACTTTACCGATAGACGTCGTTGAAAGGTACCAATGGTTGATAAGTCTCCTCTATTGGGCGTGTCTGTTTTATCCACAAATGAAGCATCTTTAGATAATTAGCCAAATAATATGACGCATGGTCTTGTATTCAATTAAAAAATAACATGCTTTCCGTTTTGTATTCCAATTCAACAATGCCTTTCCCTTGAAAGTGGCAGCTAGTCTGCTTAATAGGCCTACTCGTGTTATATGCAGATACATGTAGGCCTATTACTTTTGGTGCTATGTATTTCTTTTATATGTACTAACGAATGATAAACCAATTCTTATCTTATAGGCTGGGATTCATTTGACCCGTCCGAGGCAGGGTTTGTCGAGCTTTTCAAGCTTTATCAACTAGCAGTCAATGAGCTGGGACAGGAACCCATCATTGTTGACGCAGACGATCTCATTCAGCACCCAGGTGTGTGTGCATTCTCTTTGGCAAGTCGTAAAACTTTTGGCATGTCGTAAATATGCGTGGATATAAGCAACAAAATTGTCCTGATAAATGATTTTCCATACATCAACAGAAACAGACATTGTGTTCATAAGAAATGAAAGTGAAAATGAATTCCTAAAATACATGAATATAACGGGGTGATAATAGGCAACTTACTTCCAATATCAATTTCTCAAAAAGATGTCTAGAAATATACAAGTATTATACAAAATGCAAGCATCACTGATTCGGAGATGCACATTTTTTGTGGAATGATAATCAGTTTTTCCATAAAAAGAAACAGGTGAAACTCTGAAATTCTTTAGACAATTATATTTCTGCTTAAGCGACTCGGTAACATACAACAAAAAAAAGACCATACCGAACAATTCTAAAAATGATGTGTACACTTAGAAACATAGAAATGGACGCGCATTAAGTTAAAGATCTTGAAATCAATCCAACTTGCACTATGTGCGACAAGTCATTGCTCTTTCAAACCAAGCTTTAAGTATTTTTTACAATTCCAGAGGGCATACTGAAAGCATATTGTGCTAAAACGGGCATCGAGTTCGACCCCATGATGCTTAACTGGGAACACAATAAGCCGGACATGGAAATCTTCAAGGAGTGGTTGCCATGGTTCGAGAACGCTATGACTTCCAAATCTTTTCAGTCTTCGGGGCCATCTGCTAAGCGCCCGCGAAAGGCTGACCAAGACGAGCTTCCCTCTGAGGTTAAGGCGTGTATTGAAGACTGCATGCCCTACTACAAGAAGATGTTTGCCAAACGGTTGCATCCATTGTAAAAATAATTAAACAAGACCGCGTCCTTCAGTTACTAGTTTGTGACCATTAGGGTCATAGCATTGTTCAATAGGACGCAGTCATTATGCCCCATACTACATAACTACTTTGTGTCTGGACGGAGCAGCTACTAGTAGACTTAATAGACGGCTTTTTGTAACTTCATTATTAACTGGAGGGTTCTAGTACTGGTGGTATGTAGTGTCCTTATCCCACGGGTAAGGTTAACGGTGTTATTTTGCACATTCCAGAAACATATATGGTTACCAAATAATCTTACATCTTCCGTAGAGATCTCTCAGTTATATTTAAATATTTAAAAATCCTTTTCTGAAATTAGCAAAAATACATATGTAGATATCCACATGGAAAAAGGAAAGCACACTTTCTAAATCGACATTGAAAATGGATAAAATGGAAAATAATCAACAGGACACTATACAACAGAAATCAAGGAGAGCTACACATTAATCCCGTTGGAAAAGTGCTCTTTATACTCCCAAGAGGAAATGACTGGAAAAGAAATACCTGTCAAATAACACATTTATCTGATTTTTATTTGTGACAAGTTCTGGATTCACTTCTTGAGTTGCAATCTGAATTCCAAGGCGCCTGCGATCGCACATATCTGATTGCCATGTTTCATGTTTTAATTTTGCATTCCTCTATAAACAACTGAAGTTTCAACCCCTCTCGTTATCTACGGCCCCACGACTTTTCATGACAATGGCCCTTACCAAAGCTTTTCTTTAACAGTTCCTGTAATAACGCAGTCGGTCTTCATCACGTCTTTTGTCAAAAAATCTGATCACTTATCTGCATCCTATCAACCATTAATCTACTTGGGGAATTTTTTAAAGACACTAATAATTATATCATCACTAATTTCGAAATGCATTTATCGCGATTATTGATTTTTAATCTCGTTCAACATTCATCTATTTTGATTTTGACAAACAGGAAGCTGTCATTGTGCCTTAGTTGTAGATTTAAGCTCGTGTTCGCAATGATCATTGATTTATATTTTACTTGAACAGTTAATGTCAAACAACTGGCGCATTCAACATTATTAAACGAAGTCTTGCATTGCGTGATCTCATTCCTAGGATGAAATGTCAAATTTCAATTAAACCGTTGGATGCGATACATGTACATTTGACAGATATGCTTTTGGTTCTGTTCAGATGAATGTGGCTTTTGAAAATAACAGTCAGCAGTAAGGAAGAGCTCTGCTAGTACTACTGATAAATGTTACAAATATCATTTCAAGGAAGGAAAGGAAAAACTATGTTAGTGATAGGGTTTACACTTTGTAGTGAGTAGCAGTAGAAATAAAAAACAAATGCTTTAGTAACAGAAGTAGCGTAAATAATGAAATTAGAAATGGACTTAGATATATACAAGAGGAAAAGGAAGGATCTGAATAGTACGTCATTTTGAAGCTTATTACAATTAAAAATACTCATTATTGACTTGGAAGTACATATTTGGGGGCGGGATCATATAGTCATTCTACACCTTCAATTTTAGCAATAGTGATAGGTATTTGTAAATAAAAAATATTCCATGGGTAGGCCCTATATTTAAACCAAGTCAACGTAATTTAAATGTTTGCATCCACAGGACTATCTCAGCAAGACTAATATTAGACTGGCAAAATCGTTTTTGATAAACCACTGAGCCTGGACTCACTGGATCTGTATACTGTAGCTGATCTATAGGCCTACCTATATATATATATATATATGCACCATACATGTATATAAGATAATAAGCCGGTACTTGTTCGATATGCTGCGTTTCCTGGTACTTTACGGTATCAAACTGTAATAAATATAATACAAACTACAATTTTATGTGGCTTACACTCCATATGTTAAGAAAATGAACTAGGCAATAAATGTTATGATTAAGTAGTCTTGTTCTCTTATTGGTTCCTACCGGTACTGCAGAGTGCATAAACCCAGTGAAGCATAGAGAGCAATCAGTTTATCAATAAGCATTAATGAAGCTGTGATGAATGGAAACAGCACCAGCATATGAATGGGTAAACTGGAGACTCCACTGCAAACTACGTATGATTGGCAAGGTTGCCATAAACCAGCCGAATGAAAGCCCACAGAGACCGAATTTTAGATTCAAAACGATTTTTAAAGACGTGCTCATAAGCTTTTTCTTTGAAAGTTAAGAGTGCCGTTCTTGCAGCCACCATACTAAGAGTAAGACTGAATGTTTTTTTTTTCGCTGAATAACCTACTCGTTTAGAGTAATATGGAGGCTTATCTACTGTAACAGAGCCAAATAAACTTCCTCCTGAACACCTTGGGCAATTTTTTATATTCAAAATCAACACAAATGACCTTAAAATTACACAGTCGGCTCAGAACCAAGAGCAATCTGGCTTACCTAAAGAAACGATTACTAAAATAAATGTACCGCTACATGCAGCTGGGCGCTTGTCGGTGCGTTGGAAGGGTAGGCTCCATTTATAACTGTCCCTAGGGTCATATAAATCTATGATAGCCGGAATGACAAAGATTTGCCAATAATAGGCCTATACATATGTTAAATGCAAGTGTCTCATTTTGCATGAAAAGCCTTTATTTGGGATGAATTGAATTAGGCCATGGAGGTCCCCTTTGATTCTTTGACGGAGGCAGAAATATTATACATGTAGGTAGAGCCTTATGGAATAGGCATATGTACAGTATGTAGGCCAGTATGTAGGCCTACATGTATGTACACCTTTCAAGGTTAAAAAAATAGATAAATGTATATATTGATTAATCAATGAATTAAATTACATGGAACTTTCAGCTATGTACTGGATAAAGATATAATTGATGATATAATATTTTGGATAAAGGGCGCACAAAGTTTTTTTAACAACTTAAAACAGTCTGAGAAAATCTTACAGCCGAAAAACGACGTTGCGCATGCGTATGACCTACCAGATGAATGAAAACAGGAAGTGAAACTTATGAGACATCACAATGAAAATGTAGTGTGTTTGGAGTGAAAGTAAAAGATTGGAAGGGGTGTAGGACTTGCAGGATGGCAGATTCCCCCGATTATCTAGTTTGTGCGGTTTTACCCGCCGGCGGTTGCGGGGAACGAACTGGAATGAAGACTCCGAAGCAATACTGTCAAGTCTTGAGCAGGCCTCTAGTGGCATACACTTTACAGGCATTCGAAAGGTTGGTGTTGGTTTGATTCCTGGTCGATCTGGACTGGGTTTATCAGATCAGATCTACTTAAAGCATTGCCGCGTCTTTTAGATTCCATGTCAGCCCTGTAATTACGTTAAACGATGTGCATTTCAGGGTGCCATGGATAAAGCATATAGTGATCACAATCCACAATGATTACAAAGATTTACTACTGGATGTGATATCTACACACAATCTGAAGAAGATACACATTGTGGGAGCAGGCCCCACCAGACATAGGTCCATATGGGAGGGAATCAAGAGTTTAGGGAAAGGTAAAACCTTGAAAAGAAAGAAGATTGGCCAGGGTCAGGAGAATGGTTAACTGTGTGTGTGTGTGTTTTTAGGGGGGGGGGGGGGGGA